GTAATGCAGCAAAAAAAAAAAATGGGCTTTAAAAAAGGCCCACAGTTCGCTACGCCCCCACCTCCGAAGAAAGTTTGGCGCCTCGGGCGGCCGCCCCACTAGCGCTTCCATAGCTACGACTGTGCCCAACGTGTACACCATTTGATGTAGCGAGAATAAACATGTTCTTTTTGTAGTTCAATTTAAATGGTATTAACGTTGTGTAATATGTATTTAATACAAGTATCAGGTGGGTCTATGAACATGTTACATTTTTATGGCAAACTAACTCTACGAATTATTTCCCATTGATTTTAAGTATACAGTAGAAGAGAGACAACCGAACTTTAAAACACATTGACAGTCTTTTCAATAAGTGCACACTTTAATTAAACCTCAAATGTCTAATCTTTTTTATTTAAACTAGAAACATTATGCGTTTGACACTTATATAGTTTGTGTTTATTCGTAAAATATTATTTTAAATAAAAATGTTGCATTGGTTTAATTTTTAAACGCTTCGAGATTAATTTACAAATATTTTAAAGACAAGTGAAAACTTCTATTTATCCTCGGTCTTTTCATTTTTCTGTTGTTTACTATTATTTTAAACAAATACGAAAAAAAATAGAACAAAAGACTCACCATATCGTATTCACTCGACAACGCTCTAAACTCTAAACCCAAAGAGAAAGAAACAAACAAGTAATTAGATTTTAATGTGATGCTAAATATAAGTCACATTACCGCATTTTAATGTCAGATCAACACATTGGGGAAAGTGTTCAACCAACTCTAGAATTAGAAAAGTATCAACACATTTGGGAAAGTGTTCAACCAACTCTAGAATCAGAGAAGTATCAACACATTTGGGAAAGTGTTCAACCAACTCTAGAATCAGAGAAGTATCAACACATTTGGGAAAGTGTTCAACCAACTCTAGAATCAGAAAAGTATCAACACATTGGGGAAAGTGTTCAACCAACTCTAGAATGAGAGAAGTATCAACACATTGGGGAAAGTGTTCAACCAATGATGTAAGTTACTTTCCTTAACCTAATTAAATTAACAAAATGGGAAGTGATAAAAAGTTTTTTAAATAAATATAAATTGTACATTGTTAACAACTAAATGGTTCAACGATGTAATCACGGCATTTATATCGTAGCTGTGTTTTAGGTGATTTTGCAGCTGTACAAGATTTATATGATTCACATTATAGACGACGATCTAAGGTGTGTTATTTTACTCTACATAACACTCCTGTTACTTTTTAAAATATGTATTTCCAAATATATTTCAGCAAGAGTTATTAGTCCATACCACTTAACCAAGATCCAAGTTTACCACTGTATATATGATTGGTGTCTTGAACAACTGACTGCCAAGTTTACAACTGCAGACATGATTGGTGTCTTTTGCTGAACAACTGACGGCTAAGTTTACCACTGTAGATATGATTGGTGTCTTTTGCTGAACAACTGACGGCTAAGTTTACCACTGTAGATATGAATGGTGTCTTTTGCTGAACAACTGACGGCTAAGTTTACCACTGTAGATATGAATGGTGTCTTTTGTTGAACAACTGACGGCCAAGTTTACCACTGTAGATATGAATGGTGTCTTTTGTTGAACAACTGACGGCCAAGTTTACCACTGTAGATATGAATGGTGTCTTTTGTTGAACAACTGACTGCCACGTTTACAACTGAGGACATGATTGGTGTCTTTTGTTGAACAACTGAAGGCCAAGTTTACCACTGTAGATATTATTGATGTCTTGAACAACTGACGGCCAAGTTTACCACTTTAGATATGAATGGTGTCTTTTGTTGAACAACTGACGGCCAAGTTTACCACTGTAGATATGATTGGTGTCTTTTGTTAAACAACTGACGGCCAAGTTTACCACTGTAGATATGATTGGTGTCTTTTGTTAAACAACTGACGGCCAAGTTTACCACTGTAGATATGAATGGTGTCTTGAACAACTGACGGCCAAGTTTACCACTGTAGATATGATTGGTGTCTTTTGTTGAACAACTGACGGCCAAGTTTACCACTGTAGATATGAATGGTGTCTTTTGTTGAACAACTCACGGCCAAGTTTACCACTGTAGATATGAATGGTGTCTTTTGTTTAACAACTAACGGCCAAGTTGACCACTGTAGATATGAATGGTGTCTTTTGTTTAACAACTGACGGCCAAGTTTACCACTGTAGATATGATTGGTGTCTTTTGTTTAACAACTGACTGCCAAGTTTACAACTGCAGACATGATTGGTGTCTTTTGCTGAACAACTGAAGGCTAAGTTTACCACTGCAGATGTGATTGGTTGTATTGACCTCAGCTGTGTTTAGGTAGTTGGTGTTTCTAAAATCATCAACACATTTCTGTAACGTAATGTTAAAATTGGCTTTTGGGCTTTCTAAACCACAGGTTAACAGATACAATTGTATGTGTAACAATACTGACACTCAAAAAATCTTCAGCAAAATCGTTTTACATTAAAAAAATCTGCATGCGAGTGATCTTACTAAAAGGTATGTTGAAATATTAAATTGTGTGCCATTTCTACTTATATTTATTGCAGACAAATAGAGGGACATATATTTCTAGCGTTTGATTTTCATGGTTTCTAATACGTCAATTTTGATGGTTGAGTTCAACCAGTACCCAACACAAGGCATGATTTAAGCAATGACGGCTGGACATAGTGCTGACCACTCAATGTATGGGTAGTTGTATCATTGACTGGCCACTACTCCCCATCTATTTACACTGCTCTCTCTATGTCTGATGTTATTTCTTTTGTTGACTTGTCTAGCCTGGGGACTCTAGTGATAGTCTGAATAACCGTAGTAGTCATGTGTCTTAGGCACGAATAGTAACATTGGATGCTAAATAATAATAATTCGGTACTGTTTCCACTCTATTAAAGAGCTTAAGTTGTACTATAAGCGAGTATTTAATCAACACATGTTTAGCCATATATAACTCAGACCGTTACACTGAGACCAATACACGTATTTAGGAGAGTGTATATGTAGGGAAAGGTTTATGTAGGATTACACATTTTTTCACCCCCTCCCCCCACCCTTATGGATATCGCTTAGGCGATACCTTAGTTCGCCTTATTGGTAGCGCCGGTCCTGATCAGCTGACCGTTACACGTGACAAGTCAGTTCGTTCCGCTGTTATTTTATTGGTTCGACCTGAAAAATGTTATTGGCTTATAACTAGAGTTTAATAAATGTGCTATTGTTAAAAAATAATTCACAATCGAATTTCGCAGCATACTCCAATGTTAAAAAATGGGTTGGACCTTTTGTCAATTAAAACTGTTTCAATGAAAGGAAAGTCAATGTTTTCACATTGAATAACAAATAAGTTTTTAATAACAGTTAGCTTTCGTGCTTTACTTTTAAATACTTTTAAATATTTTCTAAAATTAACTATATGTTTTGTACTTGTTATATTAGTACTATGGTTAATTTGTTAAAGTATTTGTATTTTATTTAATACGAGCCGACCCGCGGCGTATCACAGTAATTCATAATGTGTGAACTCGACAGTACCATTGCTGTCACTGAAAAAAAATGTGCTTTAAAACACTAAAACCCTTATTTCCCCCCAACCCCAACCCCACTCCGTGAAATCAGCCTCCTCTTAGTTACCCCCACCCCTAAATTAAAAATAGTTTCAAACTAAATGATCTGCCCCTAATTGGCGTCACTAAACCCGGCTCTAAGATTGTAAACATGTAGCGTGAACCACAGCTCACCAGACCATGTGGGGTGATGGTGGTTGCGATATGCCTAGAGAGGAAGACAGGGGACTGCTAGGCGCGCTTACAGCTTGTTTTCTAAAGTCTCCAAAAAGAGATCTATATATATAGATAATATTTGTTTCTGTTTGTTTATTTGATTTGTCTCCCATGACCTTTTCTTCAAGATAAGAAATCGCAATAGTAATATGTATTTCAAGTTTTCATAAAAAGACATTTTGTTTTAGCTATTATCTAAACTGGCTGAGAACTTTAATAAAAATATTTGATTTCCAGATTAAACAGTATGTGATATTCGTTACTTTAAACACGTGAATTTTTTTTTATGAGAAAGAGCGCGCTACAAAATAGTACTCAACAACATTATCTCAATACAAGAGGTTGCTTTACAAGCACTAATATGAGTATATATGTTGAAAAGACCTTACTAAAGTTTGTATGCGCTATGTAACTGGGATAAATAACATAGATTTACAATTAGTAAATGAGCTTTCAGCTTTTCTCAAAAGTAAGTATGTCAGAAAAAAAAAAAAGCAGCAAAAAAAAAAAAAATTAAACGGCGAATTCCTGTTTATTTTATTTAACGACATAAGCACTTTCTTTGCTTACGCTGACTGTGAGCTCGTTTTGACAGATTGGGCGAACCACGTGACATAATTATCCAATCAGACGCTGAGATGGATTTAAAAGTCACTGTCCTAGTCTGGTTTGTTATTTCCCTACATCTATTTCAGGCGTGTATCTCTTCTGAAACAGATTGTATTAAGTTCAAAAGGCGTCCTCTTATTAGCTGAAATCACTGTACTTTATCTATTTTTTAATTTTTAATTTTATTTTTGGAAAAAAAAAACAGGAAACAATTATGCCCAAATATGCAGAACCCCAACAACGTTGATATAACTAACGAGCCGGCCCGCGGCATAACATACGCCGCTATTTAGTTGTTTCTAATTTTCAATAATTCATAATTTGTGAATTCGACAGTACCAACGCTGACACTGGAAATATTTCTTTAAAACACTATAAGTAGCTCGTTAAGGACCATAACCCCCCCCCCTTCCTTCCCCCCCCCCCCTCCCCCCCCCCCCCCCTACGTTAAAAATCGTTGGCTCTGCTTGTAAACATTTAGAGTGAACACAGCTCACTAAAACCATGTATGGGTGGGGAGGTAGGGAGAGCGTTTTATTTTTTTTTTTTTTTTTTTTTTTTTTTTTTTTTTTTTTCATAATAAGAAAAATGTATTTTTTTAAAACCAGTGAAACAAAAATCATTTTTTTGTGTCTGCCTCCACAGCTGGGGGGTGTTCAAGGACAGTGTCTATTAATCCAAATTCTAAGGCTTCAGATGGACTCATAAAGCGATCACGCTCCATACTTTTTTCAATCAGTTCTAATGGTTGTTTGGTGTGTCTAACATACAATCTGTTGATCTGTTTCTTCAACTTTAAAATTTCTTCTGCCTGAATTTGAATGTCAGTTGCTTGGCCTGCAGCTTGCCCTGAAGGTTGGTGAATCATGACACGTGAGTTGGGCAGAGAGTGGCGCAGGCCTGGGGCACCAGAACACAGCAGTAAGGAGGCCATGCTACAGGCTTGACCCACACACCATGTGGCTATAGGAGGCTGCACATACTGCATGGTGTCATAGATGCCAAGACCAGCAGTCACTGAGCCACCTGGACTGTTGATGTACATATGAATGGGTTTTTTGCTACTCTCTGATTGTAAAAATAGGAGCTGCGCCACCACTAGACTTGAGAGTTCATCATGGATTGGTCCCATGATACATATTATCCTTTCTTTCAGCAATCTTGAAAATATGTCATAAGCTCTTTCACCCCGTCCAGTTTGCTCTATGACGATGGGGACCATAGGGAAATACCTCTGTATGGATGTGTGGAGTTGACACTTTGGAAAACAAGGCAGAAAGTACCTTGAGACCTGGAGCATTTTGCTTCTCGCAATCTGCATTTCAGAACTGTAGCAGGTAGATTATCTTCACTTCTAGAAGTAGAAGTTAGTCTAGATTTAGAATAATCTAGATCTAGATCTTTCTTTCTAGATACTCAATCACTTTATATCGAGTCAACAGTGTGGCAGCTGAGGTTCATACATGGTATTAGTGTCTTTTTTTTTTTACATTACATTCTTTTTCATCTTGAAAACATGACGTATGTGATTTAAAAAAAAAAAAAAAAAAAAAAAAAAAAAAAAAAAAAAAGGGAGAGCGTTTGCAGCTTGTTTTCTAACGGCTCGAAGAAGAGAACTATATATATATAGATTGTTTCGCTTATCTGAGTAGATTATATTTATTAACCACTAAGTTTTTGTGTTTTTATAAACGTAAGCACATTTAACCAAAAATAATTAGTAAACATTCATTTTTAAACAGCTATTAAGAGTTGATTGAAATACTTCTATTTATACAAAAGTACATTGTGCTATTTATTTTGCTGTTTACTAAATGTATTCAGATGCCTATGTAATTTAATAATTTGTTATTTCCCTTTTAACTTTTTAGAAAAATAAAAAGGGACATAACCATTTAATATTTCTTAATATAAAAATAAGGCAATATTTATTTTATGTTAACCTGAATAATAATTTCATTTAATTAATATACAGTGTGTTTACATCTATACAACCTTTTTTTTAATTAACTAAAAATAAATCATACCAGCTTTGAGGTTAGCCCCTTCTACACAACTATACCGGTCATTTACATATAATTATGTGAGCCATTTATCTTTATCAGTGTTTCTTCCAGACTTTTTTCTCCGGGGGGGGGGGGACACTTGAAATTTTCGGGGGGGGGGGGGGGGGGCGGTGAACTTTCTTTGGGGGGGGGGGGCGGACACTGTTAAAAGTATATATTTTCTATATAAATTATATAAATTTCATTTCGTTCGGGGGGGGGGCGGTAAAAAAATTTCGGGGGGTCTTTGCACCCCCCCCCCCCCCCAAAGAGATGCCTGGAAGAAACTCTGATCTTTATCAAAGTTACGTACACACTCTGGGACATCATCATCATCATCGTCATCATCTGCTGTTGTTTGCTTGTTTCTGTCAGCAGCAATTACTAGCTTAAATTATTTTTAACAACATATTTGCTATTTGTTTTTCTTTATTTTTCTTTGTATGAAAGATAACGTATTTTGAGCCAACACATTATAAACTGTACGGTTTTTAAAAGAAAATACTTGCCTATCTTTTTTATGACTTCGACCTGGACTTATGTTTTCCCAGAACTGTTTTTAAAGAGCTAGAGCGTTTAAAAAATACAAATCCTAGACTTAGCATATTATTATGTGAGATGGGAGCTAAATCTGCAAGAAAAGTATCAATTACGTTTAGTATTGTATGAGGTAGGACTGTATCAATTACATGTAGTATTGTATCAGTTACATGTAGGGTTGTATCACTTTATGAAGTATTGTATCAGTTACATGTAGGAGTATGTCAATTGCATGTTGTATTGTATCAGTTACATGTAGGATTGTATCAGTTACATGTAGGATTGTATCTATTCTTGTTAGATTGTACACGTGGAATCTATAGAGCTTAAATAACTCTTTCAAAGTCGGAGATTTGAGCCCTAGATGTACACAACACGCATGTCTTTGTTAATGCTCAGTAAAACAAATGTCACAAATTGTTGATGACGTTTCTCATTCTCCAAGTTTAATGTTTTAAAAGATGAAGAGATTGGCCTATAGTTGATACCTCTATCATGAAGGCCAATATACAGAACTTTGTAGATTAGTAAAGAAAGATAAAACACAAGGACTAATGAACACGTACTCGTGTTTTTAACGTCAGCACTTTTGTGATGGTCTGATGATTTTATACGTTGTTGGGCTATCATTTTAGGAACATATTACTTTATCAATATTGTTTTAACCAACATCCAAACGTTACTTGAAATGTAGAGCATAGTTATATATGATTTTTAGTCGTTTTAAACTAAATTATTTACTGAATAAAACATTTTATAAGCTGTGTAGAATGTTTTAGTGTAGTGAGAGGCGAACAGTCTGATTTAAAGGTAAACAAACGGGAGCTCCAGTTTTGATGATCCATGGTGACAAACCACGTCATAATTCAGATACAACACTAGGGTTGTCGGATTAAAAAAAAAATTATCGGCCGAAAGTTAAAATGATTATTTGAGTTATTAAAACAAATCGATAAATAAAATTAGGCGATATAACTTTGGAAAAGTTAACCCAGTTTGAAACAAAGTTTTTGCTATTTTGGTAAAATGTATATTTAAAGTAGAAGTTTTCAATATATTTAACGACATAATTTTTTTATAAAAAAAACGAAAGAGAAAGCAATATTTTTTAATTATTTAAAAGTAAAATTTAATTATTTTTTTCGCTATGAATTTTAAGTTGTAATTATTGTGTGTTTAGACTCAATTGATTTTGTTGTTTATGTAAATTATGATTTTGTTATCCCCCTTAATAAATGTTTGACATACATAAACGGGACACAAATATTAATTAATATTATAAAAAAGAAAACAATTAAATATCTACATTGCATCAACCTAAATGAGGCTTTCAATATATCAATAAACACGTGGATTAACTACTAATTTTTTTTTTTAATTAACGAAAATTATTTACCATTTTTGTAGCAGTATCTGTATACGTCAAGTTGGCATGTGGTCAGTTGCGTAGCGAGGGGGGTGGGGGTGTCGGGGTGGACATATTTCCACGGGCGCCGACCTTAAGGGGCGCCAAAATGGGTTGGAAAAATAAATTGAAAGGTTGAGGGGGGTGAAAATCGAACGTTTGAGGGGGGGGGGAGGTGAAAATCTTAAATGTTTGGGGGGGGGGGGGTGCACATTGAAAAGTTTCTCCCCGGGCGCCGGGAAGAGTAGCTACGCCTCTACATGTGGTCAGACGGCTTGGTAAAATAATGCAATGTAATCAATGTACACGTATGTAGGAGCTGTATACACATTATATAATTCGATGCAAATCTATATGTGGGGCATTTTAGGGTATCTAAAGACATAATTGTGTGTCTTTATACTGATATGTATAGAAGACAAGCGTAAAGTCGAGTTTACTAGTTCTTGTTTGCATGGTTTCTAACTAGTCAAATCTGAATGTCGAAAGACTGCTGAAAATAATTTTTAATTTAGAAATGGCGGCTCGGAAGCAGCGTGTAATTCGATTGTTATCTTTATAGGGTAGGTCCTATACAAAAAAAAAAGAGTCGGATGCGTTTTTATACAGTTATGTAATAATACAGGGGAGGTTTATGCGGGAAAAAAATCAACTTTGCAGGGACGGTGCCCCGGAGTGATCTCCCCTAAACTTTCTCGGATATTCTTATATAAAACAACATGGAGTGGCAACTCAGGATATAGACATGATTTTTAATCCATTTTAAATACTTAAACTTTTTAAAAAAGAATAAAATCTCGAAAGAAAAAAGAATTGCACACCAAATCAACGCCAAATAAAATGTGCATAATAGTGCTGAATATTATTAGAATTTTATAAAGTCACATGTGTTTTTTTAAGAAATCGGAAATAGCGTAAATTACTATTTCCGGTCAGCGGAAATTACTCAACATTTGACAGAAGTCAGATAATTAGATAGTTTACTTACATGTGACATTTAATTTATCTATCTGAAATAGTACTTAATTTAAGCTATATGCTTTAAAAAAATTCAAAGTAGAAACATTTACATTTTCGGTTATAGGAAATCGCTGAAAAGTTGTTACGGATCTAGGATTTCGATATAATACTTATATATGAAATTTCATCAATCTAGCTGTAAGGGTACTCCAGTTATCGTGTTTAGAGACACACACACAGACACACACACACACACACACACACACACAGAAACATACAGACACGATTGCACAACTATTTTTCCGACACATGGAGGGGTAAAACGTGGAGATTTGCAAAAATCTCGATTTTTTTTTAACGATTACAATACTTTCTCTATACTCTGTATAGACGTGAAAGTAAAAAAAAAACACTCTCCTTACCTTATACTTCGTTTTCCAAAGAATATTTTAAAAAATGGTAAACGACATCCATAGTTTTTTAAAAAAAATAAATACAGCATTCTTATATTTTACAAACGCGTGAGATGGCCACATACAATTGCAGTATTTCTCAAATCTGAGAATATCTTCAAAAAAAATATATATACTAAATCTGATAATTACACTTTCTAATTAATTGATTATGTTAGAAAGAAAATAATAAAACATAACAGTTGCAAAAAAATTAAGATTAATACTGGAATACAAACAATTTTTACTGTTAATAAAGAAAAAATAATTCAAAACTAAAACAGAATAGTAAATGTATTAGTTATAAATAAAATGAATAATATTTCATTCACGGTCAAACGTATCCCCTCGAGCCTACATTTTTTAAAATAAATATTGATCTGGCTTATTTGTAACATGCGTTTCATTCTTATGCTTCTAAAAACCACACTATATTGATAGCCATACACATTATTTAACCTGTGTTGTTTGCCTTATATAAGATTTTCGGAACAAAAATCGAATTTGTAAGCGACTGATCACATATAAGTAATCAGCTTTTGATATAACGTAGTGTATATACTTACACTTGTTGTTATAACAAAACTTGTCGTTGTTACATGAAACGGATGATTTTAAATACTGATGTCTTATAATAAAATAGGTGTGTTGGGATGTAAGTAGTATTATAATCTCGGCTAATTTTATGGTTTGAAATTAGTGTTAGGCGTATGGTATGACTAGGGTGGTTGGTGTTAGTGTTAGGGACAGGGTTAACATTGACATTAGCCAGCAATGTATGTATTTAGTTAACTACCAGTAACCTAACACCCCTTTTTTAAAGAAGATTCTATTATCGGACACTGGTATAAATATTCCACCATGAAACTATGGTAGCATCAACTACAACATATGTATTCCGCTTTCTATAACTCGGACGACACGCTTTGTGTAGGCCTATATTTAACTTCAGTATGTCAGAATATATTAGTCTTATAACAACATTTAGAATTTGCTAATAATAGATG